CAGTTCGCGTTCTAAAACTCGAGTGTCACCATTCGTCCTCCACATGACAGCGCCTACTTTTCCGTAGTATTCAGTTTATTTTTTTCTTTCAAATAATCGGGAAGGCAAATTGTCCTGTAATAATATTAGCCAGTTGTAGCCCAGGAAAGCTACACGTTTTGACTTAACAGATTTTTATAAGATAAAGTGTTTCTTTTTGATCTAGGTATTTTAAATAGTTGCTTTCCATTGTTACTGTTTTTGGGGTTTCTTGTTTGCTCGTATAAGGCTCCTTTTGATCCTCCATGTTCTTAAACTAGAAATATTCCTTCTAACCATATCCTAATATTTCGATTTGTGTCTGTTGCTTGAGAGACGGAACGCTATTTTGTGTGAAGTATCTGTTTTACGAAGCTTTACGTCATGAGATGAGGTGATGTATAAAAAGTTAGAGGAAGAAAGAGGATTTGTCTAAATTGTATTCAAATGTTCATGACACGCACATGAGGGTAAATCAATTTTAATAACCAGTCTTATAGCCGCCTATATCACTATCAGAGTCTTAAAACCATAACTTTCAGTCCGGAAAATTTCCCTTCCGATTCGTTTTTTACACCTAAATGATGATAGATTATATAAAAGCAAGCGGGGTGTGCGATAGACTAACCTCCACGTGGTGCACCCTGGACAGCGTATACTCATACGCAAAAAAGTCTATTTACTGGCAGTTGACTTCTCAATTCAAACTACCATAACCCCACTGTATGCCATATTCGACTACTTTTACGGTACTCACCTCACCTTTTTCCACCTTTGTTTGTCTCTCTTACATCTTCGAAACACTCTTCTGTCCCCCCCCCCCACTCTCGACTTCCCCTCTATGAAGTCTGAAGTCAACTAAAGGGCTAATGATAACTATCAAAACGCCTGCCATTTGATATAAATATAAATAAATATAAAATCAAGCATTAATTTTACTCAATATATCCACGTTTGTAAAGACAAATTGAATGGTATAGATTAATCGGCAAATGGTTTTGAGAAAATTGAATAAATAAATATTAAGAATTATAAATAAGAATAAACTATTTGGGAAAACCCATGGTTTAAAAAATCAAATAAATTAATTTATATTAATTTTGTAAGGAGGGGGACTGTATTGTATACCAATGTCGTAGCTATGGTAGAGAAATTGAACTTGAAGTGTTTGACTAACTACTGAAATTACTCTACTTTTCAATGAGCCCTGGACTCAACGATCAGGTGTTGTCGTTTGAGGATAAATAAGAGAAATTGCGTGAACTAAATAGATCAAACTTGGAATAATTTTATTTCAAATGGTGAAGGATGGCATATTAAAAAGTCCAAGTATTAACACGCAAAGTCACCTATTTGCTATATCATATTCAAAGTCTTAATCGATTTCTTTAAATAATTAATTGGAGGTGAGCCGATTCACACAAAATCTTTATATAAGTGAATTCCGAGTTAAACATTTAGAACGATAATACTGTTCTTTTAGTTGTGTTCTGCTATATTTTTATGTCTCCACATAGATCTTAACGTTACGGCTAAAGATGTAAAAATAATCTGAAGCAAAATAGAGGTCATTTTTTATCAAGATTTGATATTCCAGTAGTCTTTAAGACGATCTATTTGACTCTGATAACATATTCGCTAGCTTTTTAAACATGAGATAAGATTTAGCTTTTCTAAGAGAGAGAGAGAGAGAGAGGATTTCCTTTGTTGCCTGTCAACAGTAGCCTTCTTTTGTCAAAATTTGCCTTCATTTATCAGTTATTTGTTTTTGTGAAATACTTGGCGTGACAAAACACTTTTACCTTTTAAAGAAGCGCGAATTTTCAGTGGTAGATACCAAAGTCCTACCATTTTGGCGACCTCGGCCTATTGGTCATGGCAACACAAAAGTAAATAACAAATGTAAATTATGAGATCGCATCTGATTTTGCGAAGTGAAAAAAGCGAGTATTGTTTTAAATTACGCAAAAGAGAATGCCATGAGTCGAATAGTTATTTATATCAAATGGCAAGCTTTATGATAGTTATTGTTGGCCCTTTAGTTGACTTCGGGCTTCATAGAGCGATGGGGCATCAAAGACACAAAATTTCGAGAGGAGGGAACAAAAAAGTGTTTCACAGATGTTAAATGAGAGACAGGCACAAAGGTAAAGAAAAGGGTAAGGTGAGTACTGTGGAGTGTTGTGGTAGTTTGAAGTAAGCTACCGATTTGTAGATTTTTTGCCTTATGAATATACGTTATTAAGGGTGCACCACGTGGAGGTAAGTCTATCGTGCACCCCAGAGTCGAATATTATTTAAATTAAAATGTCTGAGTTGTCAGCATTCTTATTGGGTGGGCGGGGGAGGGGGGAGGGGGATTATAAGTCATCTTGCGAAATCCTAACTTTTTTTTCAAAAACCGATTTTCATGTTTATTTCTGTGGGATTTCAGGTGAGTTCAATTCAACCATATCAGAGTTTATTGATCAAGGGCACTAGTTGAATGGTTGCGTTTAGGAGCAATCCGATGAGTCTATTAACTGCATTTTAAATGTGGCACTGATTATTTTATACAAAATATTAACTAATTTTCGTTATATAACTATTCATACTTCAAGGTAGTAACCTTGGCAAGTGTTTCTAAAAAAATTTCATCTTTTCTTATACCATCCTGAAATGGCTTCTTCTTGTTAGAATTAATCAAATTTGTCAAAGTTGAACTGCTTAGGCCAATTGTTTTTCTTTTCGACTTTTTGCAGAACAGGTCTTTCTATTTAAAATTATATTTGTTTATTTAGGTTAAAAAGCGTTTATGCGCTGCAAGTTCTTTGTATTAGATCTCATGCGATTAGGCCCGCTTAATTAAATTAAATTTCTCGAGATATTTTCTGTCAACGCAGTTTGTGCAAAAGCAACTTCGCATTTAATTTACCGTCTTCAATCTTTGTTTTTTACAATTATTATTATTCAAGGGATAGCAAGAGATTTCTCACTTGTTAGCCATGGGAGAGCAGCTTGACATTTATAACCGAACCAGAGGTGAAGGAGAGAGACTACAGTAGGACTTCGGGAATCTTGATTCATGTTCTTCTTACCTAACGACTATAGACATCTTCCTATGTTTAAGCTTCCGTATTTCAGAATATTGGCTCTAGATTTCTGTACAACCTCACTAGATCTCATTCTAGGTGAAGTTATGCTCAATTTTATCAATAGTTTCGGTTAATTTAAAGAGAAATGTTTGTTATTATGATTAATCACAGTACTTTGAAACAAATTTTAGTCCAGCAAATGTTAAGAATTAGGCGATTGAAATTTACATCTAGCAGGTTATCCATGAGCCTTATTTCATGGAATTTGCAATATCTTCCTAATGGACTTTCCGCAATTCGAAGCGCATACAGCTCATCTTCTGGTTTATAGCCAAACCTTAGCAATTATGTTCAGTATTTATTGATTGGTATTATTTAACCAAAAAGTGTTTCAATTCATCCCTTCTTCCACCGGTAGAGTATTTACATCAAATGGTAGGCTTTATGATAGTTATCATTAGCCCTATAGTTGACTTCAGGCTTCACAGAGGAAGAGGGACATCAAATCGAAAAAAGTCTAGAGGGGGGGGGTGAACAGAAGAGAGTTTTAAAGATGTAAAAGAGACAGACACAAAGGTAGATGAAAGGTGAGGTGAGTACTATGAAAGTGGTCGAATATGACATTCAGTGGGGTCGTGGTAGTTAGAAGTCAACTGCCGGCTTATAGACTTTTTTGCCGCATGAGTATACGTTGCCCAGGGTGCACCACGTGGAGGTAAGTCTATCGCACACCCCACCACCGGTAGAGTAAACAAAATCATTTCACATTCGGTTCATCTCTTAGGAGTTTTAATGTGGCAGAGGTGGGATAGGTAGGAATTTTAAGTTGACAGCGCTCAGTGAGGTCACTTGTAACATAGTACTTAACACTTGACAATGATATATGCATAATGTCAATCGAAGTTGATAAAAGAGATTCTGCACACTTCTCTATATTACATTATGTAATTGTGACAAGGGCCTCAAACTCAATTCATTTAGGTCTAAATATAGAGCTAAAAGCATAAAAAGCGCACTGCAAAACTTAACAATTAGAGGAAAAGTTGGTTTCAAGTTGTGTGACCAATCATTTAGTTTACCACTGACTCAACCGATCGACAAGCCTTCAACAACGCCGAGGTGTACCAACTCTTTTATTAGAAAATTGGAAATATTTATCCTCCGAATTTCGCTTTAAATCGTTAATATTCTAATACAGTTTCATCAAACGATACATTTATATATAATGGCAGGCGTTTTGATGGTTACCATTAGCCCTTTAGTTAGATTCAGGATTCACAGAGGGGAAGGAACATCAATGTGAAAAAAAACTTTCGGGATGGGGTGGGGGGTGAGGAACAGAAGGGTGTTCAAAGACGAAGGTAGAAAAGGTAGAAAAAAGGTGAGGTGAGCACTGTGGAAGTAGTCGAATATGATGGTAGTTTGAAGTCAGTAGTCAACTGCCGGTTTATAGACCCTTTTGGCAGTATGAGTATACGTTGCCCAGGGTGCACCACGTGGAGGTAAGCCTATCGCACACCTCTCAAACGATATATTGCAAGAGTTACAATTTTATCATTTTTAACCGTCTCCTGGTTTCAAAGTAATCGATATTTAAATTGGTTAGTTTTGCTTTTTTTGCTTTGTTTCCATTCTGCATGCTGGGCAAGAAATATTTTTCCTTTTTTTCTGAAATGCCTAACAGTAATTATACTTTAGGAGAAATTATCGACTTAATTCAATTGTGATTAATCAATTAATCAATAATAAAATTATGATAGTTGGTAAACTCTCAATTAATGCAAGAAAATTACTTTCTTTCCACATTAGTCTTCCTTAGGAACTATTAGTACTTCATTTTATTCGAAATTTTCATTTTTTTCGAACTTTCAGAGGGGTCATCATCAAAGTGGATCAAACAGACACCTCATGTCTCCTGCCACGAATTCGGTTTCTACGCCTCAGCTGAGAACAAGAAATCAAAATCCACACGTTCCTCATGAAGTTAGGCCTCTTCCACACTCGCCTACTCAACATTCTGACGCCATGTCCCCAGTGTATCATGTTAGTTTAATTATTAAAAAAATATCCCTGCTTTCAAGCCGAAATGAAAATTATTTAAATATACATTATTCATTGAAATTATTCTTTCCGTAAAAGTCATCTTGTAAAGATTTTGTAATGAAAATATCTGGTAGAAATTGACAGAATAAGAGTAGTGGGAATATTTTGGTCAGTAAAAATTTGATACCAAAACGACAGTAGCCTTAATCGATACACTCGAATAAGTTTTTGGAGATTAATACACTATCAAAATGTCATAGTGCATGAATGTATATTAGAAAATCGATTAAGAATAATTATCGATACATTCTTGTAGACTCGTAGTTTGTTGACAATATGGTGGAGAAATTTTTAATGGTCATTCCAAATTCATATTGTCCCCACCTAAATGTTTGATTTCTCTCGGTGGTAGCAGAATGTGAATGGCACAGTTTTATACATTGAGGATCCAAATTCATTCTCCGGCATAGTCAAACTAAAATTCCCATCTCTCCATTAGTAAACGCGCCTTATTTGTTTAATTAAAGCTTCAAGTAACATTTTCTAGTGGTGAAAACGAAATCGATACCACCACTTAACTGTCAATTATGTTTTCGATGATCACTTGAATTGATGCTGTTGACTAGAGCTATGAATAAAGGTGCTTACTATATTGGATAAATTGCAACTTTGTCCTCCATCAAGCTGGTAGAAGCATTCTATGATCTTGTCCACTTCTTTTATGTCCTGTAGGAATCAAGAAATATGTCCAATTCATATCGAGTGGCATAAACTGTTTCAGCATTAATGGACAATCTTTAACAGTGAAGGTTTTTTCATTAATAAGAGAAATTTCTCCATCGGTTTTTTATATTGATTTCCAATTTCAAGATTTTGGGACTCTTCTAGGAACTAAATGCATAGGAAGGTCTTTGGTTGGGTGTTTTACATTTAACTGAAAATTAAACGATATGCTTAATAGAAATAAATGGGTAAATGAATGGTAATGCGTTTGCTACTATATTTTTGAACTCATATAAAAGTCCCAATCTTTGAACATGGACAGAGAAAAAATAATAAATAAAAATTATACTGAATTTAAGTCATCTGCAGCTAAATATTTCCCCATTAACAATTCATTGTTATCTCAGAAAGTACCAAGACTTGTCTCAACTTTAACGTAGTCCATTTAATGGGTAGGCAAATACGCCACTAAACGGATATTAGGATTCGCGATTTTTAAATTACAAGAAATTTACTCAACAGGGTTATTAACAAGAGTAGGGTCTTTTAATAATCAATTTGATTATTAATCATTCACTGTTTTAAAATAATTTACCATTGGCTTATAATAGTAAACCTGAGGTTTTATATGAGTATCAATTCTCGTTATTTTTGTTAAAATACCTTGGAATTTCGCCCTTGGCACCTTCAGGATACTTGACAAACTGGTAAATCGTTTTTTGATAATTCCAATGATTTTAGCAGACGGAAATTTGAATTCACTTGTGGCTACATGGTCTCATGTCTTCCTGTCAACCTTTACATAAAAAAATCTGTCATCAAAAAATCTATTTCATGACCAACGTAACTACTTTAGAATATGAACCTTTATAGCTAATACAGAAGGACGGTCTTGGCTACTGCAAATAATCATCCTTATTCTGGATGCAAACTTCTTCTCGGAATTGTTGCTTGTTCCCAGAGGGTGCGAGAGAGAAGGCGATAGATGCGGACTATTTTTTTCGTCTGCAATGGAAGAACGATGAGGAGATACCTTTTGTGGTGTTGGTCACGAAAGTAGAGAGCAGTTTTGGTCGGTTTGGTAGGGTAAACGAGAAAATTGGTAATTTTTTTCGACTTTTGTGGCTGACGTTTATCTCTCTCTCTCCCTCTGCAGTTCCGATCGTTTGTTTTGCCATTGAATTGGTAGTGAGCAGAAAGGAAATTGTATGCTTGCAAAGCAGAAATTTCAATAGAGATGTTGTTAAAATGATCGACTTCTACCTGCCACCCCACCTTCTGTTCGAATCGCTGTGCAACTTTTATCAAGTGGCAGTCTCTATGATAGTTATTATTAGCCCTTTTAGTTGACCTCGAGATAGGGGAACAGAAGAGTGATTCATAGATGTGAAAGGGACAGACACGAAGGCAGAGAAAAAAAGGAAAGTTGAGTACTCTGGAAGTGGCCGAATATGACATACAGTGGGATCATGGTAGTTAGAAGTCTGAAGTCAACTGCCAATTTATAGACCTTTTTGCCGTATTAGTATACGTTGCCCAGGGTGCACCACGTGGAGGTAAGTCTATAGCACACCCCCGTATAGCAAATACATCGTATACTGAACAACTACTCATAGCAAACACGTTTCGTATTTGAATACATGTAACGTAGCCTGAAAGGTCATTCAAAGCTGCCTATCGGGGGGGGGGGGGAATAGAAGACTGAATCGAAGATTTAAAAGAGGCACAGATAGACGCGAAGGCAGAGAAAGGGCAGGATAAGTATGGTTGAAGTGATCGAATAAGACATACAATGGGGTGATGGTAGTTTGAAGTGAGAAGTCGACTGCCGGTTTATAGGCTCTTTTGCTGTGAGTATACGTTGCCCAAGGTGCACCACGTGAAAATAAGTCTATCACGCACTTCTCGCTGTAAAATGCATTGGTATAAATTTTCGTTGAAATGTGGATCTACTGAATTCGAAACTTTTAACGTTATTAAATAGGTACTTTAATTTTCAATCTGGAATTTTGTGCCATGTTTCGGCGCATTCCACCTCTTTATCAAAGAAGATGCTGTCTTATGTTTCCAAAATTTAAGCTTCTTTTTATTCCAGAAATCCGCTTTGTTTTCTTAACCCTCTAGTTCATTCATTCAAGGAGAGTATCGGCAATGCAAATTAATCAAAATGGATGTAAATCTTTCAAATTCTAGCACACCATGAAAAGAGATATGCTAAATTCAACAATTACCTTTATAGATTTCTAAATGCCTCTATTTTTAAATTTCATATCCATTTTTAACCAATTCAAAGGGAGGACTTGATTTTGGAATAATAGAAATAGCATATACCCATCTTGCATCAAATTTCTGTTTTTTTGTTTATCAGTCTGTCTCAATTGCGTGCTACTATCTATTCATTTTTTTGCGATGTAAATAAAGCGACGTATTCATACAATTATGAAGGGGGTTGGTGAGTAAAAGTACAGGCGCCATTGTGGAAAGTATGAAATACGTATGAGCCATCGTACCAGCATAGATAAGGTGGGGGAGGGGGGGAGGTGTAGAGGAACAAGAGCTACTTTATTGACTCTAGCGACGTCGGCATGTTATGGGCTATCTTTTTTTCTAAGCTCACCTTATTTTTTGGATAGTCTCCGTCTGTTGAAAACTCTTTACTTCTTGTCCTGAATGGGTATACTCTGTCATCCTCACATACCATCGTTTTCGCTTTACCAAATGCCATGATTTCAAAACTTACCCCTTATTTAAATTCGTCACATTAGCGGGTTGCATCCTGCAAATCAATTCAAGGTACCTAATGTATTCTTTTCGAAATGGTCTCTTTTTCCATGGGATTGTCTATCAAAAATAGCTGTCCTCAATTCTCAACATTTTTTCCTTGGCTTTCGTTCTAAGAAAAGGGCCATATTCCCAAGAGTTAAACTTAACGAATTTGGGTTTTCATTTTTATTCCAATGGAATTATTTGCCGAACATCTTCAAAGTGAAAAATACATATCTGAACATGTACCTTTCTTTATAAAGCATTGTTTATTATCGGAAATCTAACCCAAAATTGTGTTCTATTTTTTCTAACATACTCTGCCCTTTTAATCCGTTGTGTTATGTTGCTGATTAAACGCGTTCTTTTTTGTTTGATCCGCTGGGAAACATTTATTTTTTTTTCGGAAGGATAAGATTTTATCAATGAAATATAGCGCTTTCTAAAAAAGCGTGTACATTCGTTTCTTTCTGTACTTACAAATGGCCCCCTCCCCCACCCCCACCCCCACCCTAGGGAAATCAGACACCGTGAGGTCAAACTGCCAACAGCTCCATGCCGCTTTAATGACCCTAAAATCTTCAATTTCTATGTCGGTTTCAGTAAAAAAGGAAGGAAATGCTCATTAAGCACTTTTCTAATATTTTAGCTCCCAGAATTCGTCAATTCACCACCGAAGAATCCCGAGACTTCTCCAAAACGTGAGAGCAAGTTGCAGAGACTTAGTCGTGTAAAGGACGAGTGTATACCAACGAGGCAGATAGATAAACATCTAGGTAAGTTACCCTGTATTTGGCAAAAATAGAATGAGAAATAGATCAGTTGCTGGTTTCCTATCAATACTCTGATAATTGTTTGTCAGTCAATTAGTTTCGTATCACACATTTATTATTTAGTTAGTTAAACAATGGTTCGTATCGTAGGTACTGCATGGACAGAGATGCATAATTTTTAACATAATATGAAGTTGAGGAGGAGAAAGGCACTTGGGGGATTTCAGTTTTGAAACCAAGATTTTAACTTACTTACAGTTGTCATCGGGGCTTCGGTAGACTTATGGGAACACTTATTCAATTCCCAGTTTTCAAGGCTAGTGACAGGTTGATTTTCACTTACACTTCATCATCTTGACACCCGACTAGATGGTTTCTGAACGTCATAATTTGCTCTCAGCTTATTACTTTCTTGAGCATTTGATTTACTCAAGGTCTTAGTTGAAATTTCATTTTCGATTGCTCTGCAATTCATTTTGAAACCACTATCTTAAAATAAATACGATATTTCTCCCATGTTGATTGGACAACATTTACTTGTGAAAGATCTTTAAGCGATGAAATTTCCCTTCTGGTTGGATAGTAAGAATGGGTCCACCCTGATTATAATTGTTTGAGAGATCTAATACGGTAAATATGTGTCACGAAATTCGGGTTAGTTAATAGGGGAATGGTTTATTTGCATTTCTGGTAATCTTTTGAACCACTTGATCGATTTCACTAATTAGGGGCTTTCGTGATTCGCTGAATTTTGTCTCACTTTTTATTGATAATCGCTTTGTGTCCCATTTCATGGAGTTAGAATCCGGTCGGCATGCAAATTCTTCCATAAAAGGGTAATTTTTAGCATGCTATTATTCTTTCAGCCTGTTTAATCCCCTTACGTGCTACTCAAATGCCCACAAGGGTTTGCACCGATCGAAGCATCTTTCCTTAGCTGATGTGAAAATACCGCTTGGTTTCTAATCGCTAAAAGCACCATCTGAAGCACTAAAACGAACTCGAGGTGGAGGGGGGGGGGGGGGAGAGGGGGGGGAGATGTTTAAATGTGCAGAAAACGTTTAAATAAAGAGCCCCCCCCCCCACCGGTTCAAATTGTCATTTGTGGAAGAATCTTGGAAGGATGGTTGATATGGGAAAAATTTATTAATTCACCTCGTGTAGATATTCCAAATGCACAAATTTTCCATTATTTTAAAATTTGAACGGCTTGAATGATATTTTAGGATGTACTTAATTCCGACATGTTACTCTAATCGATCCTTCAAACTTGCTTAAATCAGGTGTACAGAGGTTGTTCCGCGTTAAGTTGGACCAATATGATCCGGAATAAAGTGGTGAACTGGAAAGCAATAAAGTCAATTTTACCTTCTTTTTCTGTTTTAGCTAAAATTTGTTACAAATTGCCAGCTTGTACTTTGTAATTCTCCCTTCAAAATCTGGAGTTTGTATATAAGTGATTGGATTTAGCATTTTCCTGTTTATTTAAAATTTTCCTTATATATCACCACCTGCGTCCGTTCAATAATTAAAGGATATGTTTCTTCATTTGTCAAAATGTAGTTTATCTGGTGCTAAGCATAAAAATAGCTAGATGTTTTTACTAAATTAGAAGGTAATGGAAAGCGGTGTTTATATTATCTTGTGTTGATAATTTTAAACTTAAATATGTATTTTCTGAATTTAAACAAACTTGGAGGGGCTGAGCCCTGGGAATTTTCCTCTACATGAAATTTAATATTTCATGTTGCTTATTCAGTCAGAAATATTTTATTTTATTTTTTCTGTACTGCAAATTATTGGCATTTTAATTTTAAGAAACAATTGCAATCAATAAACACAAAATCTAATGAATGGTAAAGTTAGCGAAGGAGAGATCTAAAGGAAGTGGAATGAAATTTCATGGCCTCAACAAGTTTTCCTTTAGTTGCTTCTAGGATTCCGTTTTTTTCAAGCAAATTTTGGTAATGGTTTCCTGGAATGCATCAAGTGCTTAGTGGTCAGTTGCCCCTTCGTTTTACTTCTCCAGTCGTTGTTTAGGCAAGGGATTCATCAGCTTTTAGTTCTAGCAAAGCAGATATGAGGCAACTGAGGGCTTTAAACAATTTTTAGGTGAATTATGCACATCATCTATATTTGATTTTCCATCGAATCGCTGTTACGCTAATCCGCATTTAATTTATCTACGATAATCGGAATAATCAGTATTATCACACTGTCGAGTTACATTGTATTTCCTGAAGCTAAACTTCCTAATTGGCTTTCTTTGCATAATCATTGGTCTTTTATTTGAGTATTGACATGGCACTTGTTTCATTTTTCCATTGGCTAGGGCACTAGCCAATCATATTTTACAGGTTTAGCACTTGGAGCACACGCTCGCACTTTTCTATGTACGGACCTTTCTCATAAGTGGGTCATTAGCTCGCGAATGTCATCTTGTTTCGAAAGAAATTGTTCTTGATTCCGGTATAATACGGGTTCTATGGTCTCATTGCTTGTCCGTGATAGATCAAATTTAAAGGATAATATGATGCTGTCACTATCATCTTCAGCTGTTATTTAATGACTCCTTGCTTGAGAATTGATTGACTGATCATATAGATCACTATTGTTACTTTGTGTGAATGTTCATATAGATCGATACTTTTGTGTCTGTGGTTAAATATTCCGCAATTTGTGCTCATCAGACTCGAGTGGCTGCAAGACTTAAAGTGCATAATTTTTGCTCTACCTTCGTATTCTAATTGCTTTAATATAACTGACTTTTTTGACCACATAGATTACATTCAAAATGATCATTTATAAATTCATCAAGATTCTCTCTCATAAGAGAATTATATAGTCCGTTTATATTGCTGCAATCTACCCAGCAAATGAAGCAATTACAGATAACGGCAATTTTCTTTCTCTGGCAACCATGTTGAATTTGCCGAATTTACGTCAAGATTTTTGGTAAAATAGAAACTTGTCCTTTTCTCAGGAACAGGCTATCCGTTCTCGACTTCAATTAATCCTTTCTTCCCAAAATACAACTGAAATCACACCTCGAGTCAATGGGTCCTACTTAATTCCGATTTAAGTAGAAATATATAACCCTATCCTTTTCCTTCGAGAGTAAACTGAACTCTCACAAGCGAGTAACACTCTCACTTACCTGGCCGGTCTAGTCATCATTTCACCTCACATAGAGAAGAGAGTCTGCGCTTTCTCTCATGTTGTGTTCATATGAGATAGCACGGTCTATAGGACTCCGTGTGTGGAGAATGACTGAGTGAGCCACTACAACAACAACATCCAAAATCATAATATGCAAATCGCAACTCACCGTTTGCATTCGTGTATTTGCGCATATGTGAATACGCACACTCACACGTCCTTTTCCATTGGCCAACAGGTGAGACGAGTGTGCTCTCGTTTTACCTTAACGTCATCTTGTTAGGTTAGTCGTTTTGTCGCGAGAGTACAGTCTGGTAGGATTTTAATGTTTAGATGACCTGTTTGATATCTTTTGGTTTTTAAATTTCTATTTATCGCATTTCTTTATCAATTATCACTTTTTGTCAGCTCCATGACCCTTAGAAATATATTTCTTAATGGAACTGATGCTACCTCATTTATTCTTTCTTTTTCGATTAGGTGATAATTTTAATTAGCAGGTTTCACGTCAGATTAATCTGCTGATGATGTCAATGCTCTGATAATCCAATTTATATCAATTCAAATTATTATTCATCTGTTGATGTCATGGCAGATAAAATTAACATTGCATCATGGAAACAAACTGAACACACAGAGGATAAGGCATTTTAACGTGCATAAAAGCATGAGGATCGAGACGAAGCACCAAAAATTAACCTCAAAAGAGCCTCAATAATTTACTTTTTGAATTCCGGGTGTGGACGTTTATTGTTCGCAGACACGGTTCAGTGCTTCATGATCTACGAATCTAACTTCACGATTCTTCCAATTCTTCCTTTGTAAATTCTTGTCCGTGGTGTTCCCTATTTAGACAATCGATAGGGCAGTTGATGGGATGGTAAGTCCAAAGTATTTTAACGTAGCACAGGTCAGTAGAGTCGAATTCCATCTCTCGCTCTTCAAGAAAGCCAATTTGACCAAATTTTGCATAAAAGGCACATTCGGATGAGAGCTTGTTTGAATTTCAATATAATACTTATGGCAAGCACAGCGGAAAGTATGGAGTATATTGGTGTCTCTTTGTTCTAGAAGGCCCTCATCGTTAGAGTTATCTACATTGGAAAGATTGCTCTGAATCTCAGTTTACTAAAATGTTGCTATCCAGTATTTGGTATTGTTGCCATTCTATACTCCTCAAAGTAGTTTGGTCCCATAGCAGAAGACGATGCACATTCGGAATCGATTAAGAGAAATCTATAAAGGAAAATTTGGGGGGTACATTATTTAGCTACTCCGATTGAAAATTTCGCATTCCAAACACTCTTCATATCTGTATTAACTATTTTGATCAGTTATTTCGACTCATCGGTGAGCATTACATAAATGTCAATAATGATTTTTACCTGGATTCAACTTTCTACTAGTCGAAAATGCATATCTCTAATTATTCTTTAATTAAATATTTGATCGGTGCCAATATTCCACTGATTTCATCTAAACTTGTAACTCATACGTCCACTCGCCCTGCTTGCGAAGCTAAATCAGAGAGTCCTTTTTCAGACAGATTAGACGAGAGTTTATTATTTCCTTGAAAGTTTTATGGTTGCATGAGCCTTACCCATTTCAGAGTTTTATTAATTTTTAAAGTTTTAAAATAAATCAAATATTTGTTAAGCGTTTTTAATTTGCCGTTTTTCATAGGCTAATTGCCAAAGCCTGCAAGTTCTTTAGGATTTAAAATTTTTAACATGCACCAATTTCAAGAAATAAATAAGTTGTTTATATAGGAAATTGTTTGAACGATCTGGCCATTTCATATAAAATTGGGTTTTACGGACAATTGGTCTAAATTTTCATTCACTTTAACAGTAGATATTGGAATAGAGGAGAACTAGGAGTTTTAGTTCCTTTTCAAAAATCACCTCAAATATCTTTCTTGTCAACTTCCGCACAAGATATCTGTTTCAAAGTAAGTGGACTAGTGATTATGCTGCTTTTCTTCGTGGAAGCTTGCTTTTTTTCTATTCAAAAAGATGGAATTGTTCTCGTAGTCTCCTTCCAGGTTTCATAAGCCGTGTGTTTGCCCTTGTAACTCTGTAGACAACCATGAATTAAAATAAGCAAATGACCAACTTTATTTCCTAGCGCATCTTTTCAAGTTTGTTTAAATCTTCTAATCGCGCATCTTTTCCATGTTTCTCGCACGCATCTGTCTACATTTTGTTACTACTTCCTTTGAGATGCCTAACTTAAGCACTTCGGTTGATAATTAATTTATAGTTCTAATTTTTTTTTTGTTTTCTAAACCATAACTTTATGAAAACTTTGTTTGTTAATTTCACATCTTTTTCTGATTTTTATTTAGTAAGTTTAATTCGCCGCGCCATGTACAGATATCCTTTAACTCAGTCTAAGATAACCAACCTTGAATTGTAGATGAAGGGTCTTGTTATGCGTTCGAGACAGTTTGTCTTGAGTGGCAGCTGTAAGGCGCCCGTTAAGGTGTATTCAACTTACTAGAGGGCATTATCTATCCATTAAACATCAGTTGCCTCCATCAGTTCATATAGGATACGCGGAACGCGATATTACTTCACTTTCGCCCACTTGTTATCTCTGAGAGATATTTGAAGGCGATTAGTCATCTTCTAACCCTGACTTTATTCTGTAATTACCTCTAAGTTGGTCTTTTCACGTACCCAACCTTTAATTGCTGTAATTTTTTATTACGAAGTGTGTTGACAAAATTGACTTCCCAAACAGCCTGTTGGAGTATGTTCAGTTGATTTCTCCTAGGATGAAAATACTGTTGCCCATAGTATACAACTGAGATTTTAGTTGAAATGGTGTAAGAACTTGGTAGCGTAAAACCCACTATAGGGAGTTGATCGGTAGACCTCAATCTATCCCTACTTAGCAGTTTTTCCGTAATGAACTTAATGGTACGTAGTTCGTGTCCTTTTGACGTAGGACTCCAAGATTCGAAATCCAGAAATTTGTCTCTAGGCCGCCAAATTATGTCCCAAGTCTGTTGTTTTCGGAGGTGATAAGATAATAGAATTGGCAGAGTGGGTGGTCGGTCATGTAGTCTCATCCAATCTTGTTAAAGCCAATTGAAATGGGCAAATTTCCAGAAATTTGTTCCTTGCTGTTATTGATGTGCTCAATGTTTGACAGTTGACATCATTTTTGATCTATATTTACCTTTATCGTCTGAGAATAAATTATTTTTTTAAATGCCACACAATTTCCACACATTTTTCAGGTGCAAAACATATATTAAAATTTGGCAGTATAAAAGTTCGTTTTTACTGATTTGTATTGCCACGAACCTATGTAAGCGATGTCAGATTTCCTTGGTACCATCCTGATTCCAATGCCAGGAACTTTATTTATTTATATCAAGTGGCAGGCTTTATGATAGTAATCATTAGCGCTTCAGTTGACATCAAAGTCACAAAAGTCGAGAGGGGAACAGGTGGGTGATTCACAGATGCAAAAGAGACAGGCATAAAGGTAGAGAAAAGGGTAAGGTGAGGTGAGTACTGTGAAAGTGGTGGAATATGGCATACAGTGGGGCCATGGTAGTTTGAAGTCATAAGTCAACTGCCGAATAATAGACTTTTTGCCGTATGAGTATACGTTGCCCATGATGCACCACGGCACCCCATGCCCGAGGACTTAAAGAGATTCTTCTGTTGTGCAAAATCTTTTTTGCTTGATTTCTTTGATATACCGCACAATAAAAATTACGTCTATCTTATTCTCCCTTCAGAGAGTGAGATCACAGAAATGCAAAACCAGATAGATGCCAAGGAGAGAGAATTGAAGTCCTGCAGGCGAAGAGCTGATGACCTATCCTTTAAATTGGATGTTATTCGTAGATGGTGTGAGTGGCTAACTCAACCACCGGGAAGACATGTTCCTCGGCCCAATACCAATCCATACTTTGAGGCTGAGGAGGTAAGTATAGAATTACATATTACTTACCTTAAATGGTAATAGATTTTTATTGCATATCAAACAACTTTAGGTAGTTAATTAAAGTCTGTTAATATAAGTCAATTTTGACATTTGTATCTATGGTTTTGTGGGCATTTTTTCCAAATTTATTTCAAATGGCAGGCATTTTGATAATTATCATTAT